TACCTTTAAACGACGTTGTTCAGGTGTAATCAGTATGTCGTGTCTTTATTTTAAAGAGTCCCCTTCTGCTGAGTTCAGGTATCAGTAGTAGGTCTCTACTTTAAAGAGTCTGCTCTGCTGATGTTCAGGTGTGTATTCAGGTTATGTAGTTGTCTCTTACTTTAAAGAGTTCTCTCCTTGCTGATGTTCGGCTGTATATCAGTATGTAGTGTCTCTACTTTTAAGGTTCCTCTCTGCTGGATGTTGGGTGATATCAGTATGTAGTGTCTCTACTTTAAGAGTCTCCTACTGAGTTCAGGTGTATATCTTGTAGTGTTCTATCTTTAAGAAGGTCCTTATTCTGCGTTTCAGATGTTACATCGTATGTAGTGTCTCTACTTTAAAGAGTCTTTCCTCTGATTTCAGTGTTATAGTATGTAGTTCTTTATTTTAAGAGTCTTCTCCTTGCCTGATGTCCAGTGATATCAGTATGTAGTGTCTCTACTTTAAAGAGTCCCTCTCTGCTGTTTCGGTGGTATATCAGGTATGTAGGCTGTCTCTTCTTTAAAGAGTCCTCTCTGCTGATTTTCAGGTGTATATCGTTATGTAGTGTCTCGCTTAAAAGAGCCTTCTGCTGATGTTCAGTGTATAGTCGGTATTGTGCTGTCTCTACTTTAAAGGAGGCTCTCCTGCTGATGTCCAGGTGTACTTAGTCAGTATCTGTAGTGTCTGTACTTTAGAAGAGGTCTCCTGGCTGATGTTCAGGTATTATCAGTACTGTAGTGTCTCTGCTTTTAAAAGAGTCCTTCCTGTGATGTCAGGTGTATATCAGGCTATGTAGTGTCTTACTTAAAGAGTCCTCTCCTGCTGAGTTCAGGTTTATCAGTATAGTGTAGGTCCTCTACTTGGAACATGTCTCCATGCTTTAATTCAAAGCTTTTATTTTTCTCATTACTGGTCTGTGCTTGCGCACCTCTTTTCACCCTGTCTGGAAACCAGAGCCTATGTCTGCTCTATTGGTTTGCCGCGCTTTGTTGTTTTTGTCAACATCTGTAGAGATCCGCCCCTTAGCTATCACGTACAATGTGTTGAATCACTAGCCAATAGAAGAGTGGTGGTTCCATGTGATGTCACTAAACAAAGGGATTCCAATGGAGGACTAACTAACCAAAAAACATTCAGAAACCATTGACTTCCAGTGAGGGAGGCCGCTACATGCTAACCAAGTTCCTGTGTTTTGACTCATTTAGTGCAAATCTTATTTCCATGACAGTGAGCTTCTCAGTACTTGTGAAAATAGTTTTTCCATAATGGAACAGACTTTACAAAGTCTTTTCCAATAAAGTGCGTAGAAGAACAAATATAGTTTAAATGGAAAGAAGATACTTCATCTTCTTACCATTCACCACAACACACATCACCACACACACACAACACAAAACCACAACACCACACCACACCACCACACACAACACAACACAACACACAACACACAGCCACACACACACACACACACACACACACACACACACACACACACACACACCTCAAGACTGATCCTACACAAACACTGCTAATGGGTATCAATTAAGTGGAAGGTATTGCGACTCCTGGCTGGTTTGGAAATGCATCTCTT